AAGGGCCATTAGAGTAATTAACTCGCGAGGGACCTTAGAATACAACGACCGGAGGCCAGCAGCCTCGACCGCCGCCTTTGGGCTTTAGTGCCCGCCGCCCAGCGGCAGCCCCGCAGCCCGCCCTGGTCGTTAGCGTAGGGCGCGTGGCGTGGCTCGGCGTAGGGTGTAGGGGTTCAGCGCCCGTTTTGGGCCACCTCATTTTTTCCCGCTCTTTGTGCGATCCTTCATTGCCCCGAGCTTGGAGTGGATATAGACCGTTCGGCCCTTATAGACAGAGAGGCTCGCAGACGGAGACGGAGAGGAAACAGAGCACAGCGTAGCGGAGCATAGCGGAGCATAGCGGAGCCCCGAGGCTGCAGACGCCTTGGAGGTGGGCACTCCCGGCCGCAGCCCTGCGCGCCGGGACTGTGGGCCACGACTTCACAGGGGTCTGCACGGCCTGCAGACTGATTCCGAACAGTGCTTTCGTCGCTGAGCTCTCTCTCGCACCCATACGGAGCGACCCGCGACACTGTTCGGAATCACACTGCATGGGTGCTCCAATTTACGTGACAATACTTAGGCGTGAGCCAATGCCCGGCGGCGCTGTGCGGCAAAAAAGGCAGCTTGCCGACGTTAGCAGCGCGAATAGCCCGCAAATTAGATGTGGAGCCATCTTTGGCGGCGATCCCCCACCATCGACCCGCGGGCGCGCGGTGGCGCGCGGACCCCGTGCCCCCACCCCCGCCCAAAGCGTCGTTCTGCCCGATTGCCTTCGTGGACGGATACTTGTTGAAGGCGCCTGGCGCGGCCTGGCGAAGGGAGCGAAAAGGGAGCCGGGGAGGAAGACGGCGCGGACGGCGCGGACGGGGACACGGCAGCATCTGCCCTGATAATGCCGCATAACAATTGGTATCGCCTTGGCGCGCCTTGGAGTGCTGCCAGCGGCATCTCTTTTTATTTTTTTTCTTATTTTTTTATTTCCGCCCTGCTTCCTCCCGCCTTCTTTTTCCTTTCATGCCTTTGCCGGTTTCGGCCCATTTTTCTCTTCCGCCCCGCGCCGAGCGAGCCGAGCGGGCCGGCCTGCACCAAGCTAGATCCAGTTCACCTGACACGGGCTGGGCCTTGCCGGGGCCGCCCCCACCGCATTCTCTAGATCGCTGGGCGGGAACAGCCCGGCCTCCGTGAGTGCGAGAGAGACCGAGTTCGGCATCGGCCGGCAGTTGAGCTGGCCTTTGTTGCAGTGCAGGGCGTGGGCCAGCCGGGCTCGTTAGATTGTTAAACGGCCGTCTATTAAAATGCGTGTGTTGGCACTAAAGATTTTCATCGGCATCCTCAGTTATTGCCGCCGCCTGCCTGGCTGGCCCCACCACCCTCCCGCGCGGACTGCAGCCTATTTCACTGCGCGATAACCCGAAAGTCTGAAGGGCGTCGTTAAAATGGCCCACAGTCTCCAAATTAAAGGGCTTGCATGAGAGCGCGGTGCGGGGCGGCCGGGCGGTGCGGTGCGGCGGCGGTCGCACAGATGAGCTCACAAAAACAACACCCCGGTGCGGGCTGGTGGGCTGGGCAGAGGGCAGGTAGCCGTCGTCGGCGGGATTGCGGCCTTCCGGGGCTGCGGCCAGGCCGAGGGCGAGGGCCAGGCCACACCAAGGGCGGGGGCCTAGCCGGCCTGCAGGCCCTTTTAGCGCGCACACCAATTTCATTTGGAGCCCTTTCCCGTGCAAACAGCCACAGCCCTGTCTACGACGTGGCGCCCTCGTCGTTACAAGGGCCGCCGGGCCAGGCCGGGCCACGCGCATTTCCAGGCTCGCCGCCGTCCGCTGGGCCTCGCCGCGGCCAGCCCTCCGCCCGCCTGACGTCATCCCCGCCCCGCCCCGCCCCGCCCCGCCACGCCCCGCCACGCCCCGGCCCGGCATGACGGATGGTGTGCCTGATCACCACGCGGCGTGCGGCGCGGCCCCGTGGAGGCCGCGGAGGCCCTGGTGGAGGAGGAATCATCGCTCTGTGATTCAACACGTTCTGACAGCCCGCAGCACCGCAGTCCAGGTGCACTCTTTATCACCCCACCCCCTTCTTTTTGTTTTTTGTCTCCTGCTTTATGTCTCACCCTTCGCCTGCAGCTCCGTTCCTCGGCTGGGGTGGCCGCGACCGACCGTCCCTCAAACAGGTCGCCGCCGATTTTGTCCGTTTCATCGATCTCGGTCTCGGCGTCTCGGTTTTCGCTACCTGGTCGGGAAGGCGGCGGCCACGCCGCTACTCTATCGGAGTGCTTTGGTCGGTTCCTTGTATCGGCCGGCAGCCTGCCTCGGCCTGCCGCCACCCCTCGGCCTTCGGGCCCTTTGGCATGTGTGTGCTATCAAAGAGCGCGGGGATCAGGTGTCTAGGGAGGGGGGGGGGCGGGGCGGGGCGGGGCGGGGCGGGGCGGGGCGGTGGAACCATTCCCATGGCCGCGGCGTGCGAGGCGTGCCAGGCGTGCCAGGCGGGGTGGGGCGGGGCGGGGCGGTGTCGCGGTGAGGAACCCCGTCATGCCTGGCACTGCTGCAAACTACCCCCGGATCCCAGGTGGCGTTGTGGGGCGGCGCATTGCGTGGGTGCGAGGGAGGCGGAGAGTGACTCCCGCGTGATGGATCGACGCCACAACATGTTCCAGTGGAAAATGGGCCGGGCCCGGCCGGGCCGCGAGGTGCCTCCAGGCCTGGAGTCCGGGGCTGGAGTCCAGGTAAGACGGAGGCCGGTCGAATAAGTAGCGGAGTAATTGTCGGAACAGACAGCTGTCTCCACCAACACCACCCCCGACCACTCGACCGCCCCGCCCCATCACCGAGTCGCGTCCGGCTTGGACGCCCGTCCGCTAGACTCGAGTTATTTGACTAATTTTGTTTAACACTCGGCATTGTCCCACAGAAGGGCGGGCTTCATTTGAAATTCATTGTCGCCTGCTCTGCGCTGGGCGCCGGCCTGCGCCGCTCCGCGCGGCGAGTTGGCCAGTCGCCTTACGGCTTTGCCTACGGCTTGCCCACGCCCGTCCAGAAAGGAGACATAGTTAGGGCGGGACAGTTTGGTCGGCCGAAGCAGGCCGAAGCAGGCCGAAGCAGGCCGGAGCCGAAGAGGCCGGCCCCCCTCACTCTCCGCCGCGACGCTCCGCCACTTTGGGGAACTTTCTGACGATAATTGTCATGTCGCCGAGGCGCCGAATGCGACACTGTCATCAGAAGAGAAGTGGCAGGGGAGGGGGCGAGGGGTCGACCAGAATCAATCAACATAGTTTCGAGTAAGAGGTTCACGTCGTCGCTGTCACCGTCGTCGTCGTCCGCCGACGCCGCCTGTCGTCCATTTTACACCGCCTCCTCCCAGAATAGTTTGTTTGTCACGAACCATCCGGCATCGCGGCCGCGACCAAATGACGAGGCCCTGAATAATTCGAGGGGAAGTTGACGACGGCCAGGGCGACGTCCGCGAAGACGGCCGAGACAACGGCCTGCATGTTTTCCGGCGAGGAGGTCAATAATTCGCGGCCGATCTGCACCGTTTAAGGCTGAGCCGAGACGACGGCCAGGACGACGGCCAGGACGACGGCCAGGACGACGGCCAGGACGACGGCCAGGACGACGGCCTGCATGTTGTTGGCGAGACCGTCCATTATTCACCTCGGCGATCTGCCACCGCTTAGGCCCGGCCGCCTGCTGCCGCCGGGCCCCCAAGGAGGGTCCGGAGAACAAAGCGAGACGCTCATGTTTTTCCCCCAACGCCGCCAAAGCGCGGCAAGGCGCGCCAAAGCGGCCCGGGGCAGCGGCCTGTCACCGCGCGGTCTTTAAACGGCAGTTTGCGTCGCGGGACGGCCGCCTCGCCGCCCGGCCAGGCGGGCAGCCAGGCGGGCAGCCAGGCGGGCAGCCAGGCGGGCAGCCAGGCGGGCAGCCAGGCGGGCAGCCAGGCCGGCGGGCCGCAGAAGTGACGTCGGCGGGGCGGCGGGGCGATATCGCGGCGGCACATCTGTTCATCAAAGTGGGGGAAGACGCCGAGCTGTGCCGCGCCGTGCCGCGCCGCGCGCGTCTAGACTGCGCAAAAAGTGTCATTTCCGGTTCCTTTTTTCGCTCTCCTTTCTGCTCGGGATTCCGCGCGCGCCGCGGTGGAGTTGCGCTGCCGCCGGAAGATCGGCACGGACGGCACGGAGTGCACGGAGTGTTGCGGGGAAGTAGGACTCGCTGCCGGCAGCACCTGCCTGCCAGGGCTGGGGTGGCTAGGGCAGCCAGGGCTCTCCACGGCGGCGCCGCGGCCAAAGAAAGCATTCCTTCGCACGCGACCCGGCCGCCACGGCCACCAGGCACTACCGCCAAGCCACCCCGCCAAGCCACACCGCCAAGCCACACCGCCAGCCCACACCGCCACGCCGCCAGGCCACGACACGAGACAAGGGCGGACATGACCTTCCATTCCTATTATTTTCCCCCAGGCTGGCTGCCTGGCTTGCCGGCATAGCGTGCGTGCCGCGGGGGGTGTGGAACCTCGTGGAACTGACCTGGCGGGCTGGCTGGCCCGGCTCACGCGGCTCCGCTCCACGCGGCTCGGATTCGGCTTTTCACCCTTTATGCTTATTTTGGCCCTGCCAGCCTGCCAGCCGCATAAAGCCCCGGCCGCGCAGCTCGACCACCAGTCCTGCCTCGTCCGGGCCGCAGGGCCGTGGCCCGGCCGTGGCCCGCAGGTCTGCACCAGTGTGCCGGGCCGGCCGAGGAAGGAAGGCAAATAAAACAGCGAGTGCCGGCGGCTGAGGCTTCAAGCCGCGCCGATCGCGGCCTGCCTCTGCAAGCCTCGGCCTGCCTCAGGGAGCCGAACTGGGTCGCTGCACCGAGGGAATGCCCGGACGAATATGCGGGGCTGCAGGCATGCGGTGCGGTGGTGATGGTGGCGGTGGTGGTGGTTGCGTGTGGCTTCTTCCCTCACACGGCATCGTCGGATTAATAGATAAGCAGCTGACGTGCGGGGTGTCCCTCATGGCAGGCTGCCGATAAGTTGACACCTACCCTCAAGGGCCTTCAGGTGGTCGGGTCAAGGGTTGGTCCCCACTTCCTTGCCGCACTGCGCGGAGCGCGGCTTCCTCTAGTCGCCACACTGTCACACTTGGCCACACTTGGTCACACTCTGCTACACACTGCGGCACTGTCACTCCTCGAGCGGCGCGCGGCGGCACGCCGTCGGCCTCGACGCGGTCCTCGGCGGCGATCGCACAGGACCGACCGGTGCCGACGCGGACGGCTCCTCGCGGCGCACTCGCGGAGTCGTCGTCCTAGTCGCGGGGTTGGCGGCGTCGCGGGGCGCGGGGCGCGCGGCAGCGGCGCTCGGTTCGATCCTGCCGGCTTCGAGCAGCACACTGAGGGGCCGCGGGCCGCCGCGTCGCCGCGCAGCCCGTCCACCCCTCGCCGCGCCGCCGCCGCCGCCGTCGAAATGCAGGCAGCAGTGGCGCCCTCGCGCGGCGCGGCGCGGCGGGGCGCCCCGCTCTCCCGCAGGACCCGCAGGACCCGGGGCGCTGGAGGGCTCTAGGGTTCCAGGGCTGAATTGCGCTAGAACCCCTGGGCGATGGAGGCGCCAGGGGTTCCGGATTACTGGGTTAAAACAACCCCCAGCGCTCCAGGCCCTTCCAGGTATTTCCAGGTCCTTCCAGGTCCTTCCAGGCCCTTCCAGACCCTTCCAGATCCTTCCAGGCCCTTCCAGGCCCTTCCAGGCCGCTCCGGAGCCCTCCAGGCGACTGCAGTACAAGGCGCCAAGGCCCGGCTAAATCAGCGCGACTCAATGAGCAAACGCGTCAGGGTAGCAGGGTACCCCAAGGCCTCAGCAAAATCTTTGGGCTCGTAGGAAGCTAGGCGTCAAGGTGTTCCATTCGGTGTTACGTAAATACGCGCAAGGCGCCCCGAGATCCAGGGGGTGGAGGCATCCCCGGGTGCTGCACTGCATTACCACCAAATTTCGCTGGAGGGGTCCGTAATGTATTCGACTAGTCGACTCGTGGAAGTCCCATCGGCCGGCAGTCGATAGTAGACCCCGTTCCGGGACGGCCAAGTCGAACACAACAGCCGGCCTGACTTATGCATTCCTGTGCCTCGGTCCGAAGCCCCGACGCCCGAACGGTCGCCAATACATTTTCGGAGCTAATCATAAATTGAGGCGACCGATGCCGAGTCGGCGTCGTCGCAGTGTAGCCCGGCCCGTGTCCGTCCGGGGCTCTCCGTCCCGACTCTACGTCCAGACTCTACGTCCAGACTCTACGTCCAGACTCTACGTCCAGACTCTACGTCCAGACTCTACGTCCAGACTCTACGTCCAGACTCTACGTCCAGACTCTACGTCCAGACTCTACGTCCAGACTCTACGTCCAGACTCTACGTCCAGACTCTACGTCCAGACTCTACGTCCAGACTCTACGTCCAGACTCTACGTCCAGACTCTACGTCCAGACTCTACGTCCAGACTCTACGTCCAGACTCTACGTCCAGACTCTACGTCCAGACTCTACGTCCAGACTCTACGTCCAGACTCTACGTCCAGACTCTACGTCCAGGCTCTACGTCCAGACTCTACGTCCAGACTCTACGTCCAGACTCTACGTCCAGACTCTACGTCCAGACTCTACGTCCAGGCTCTACGTCCAGACTCTACGTCCAGACTCTACGTCCAGACTCTACGTCCAGACTCTACGTCCAGACTCTACGTCCAGACTCTACGTCCAGGCTCTACGTCCAGACTCTACGTCCAGACTCTACGTCCAGGCGGAGCTGTTCCGGCGCAGCGTGCCGCGCATGCCGAACGCAGCGCCCCAGATTGGACCAATAATTCGGCGCGAAGGACGGCGCGTTTAAAAGGCGGCCAGACGACACTAGTCGCGCCAACAAATACACACTCGGAATGTGGAGCGGAAACGGCGAAGCGGCGGCCCACCCAATTCGGCTTACTTCCGTTTTGACGCGGTTTATGGACTCGAGTTCCGTTTCGGAGGCTCGGCCTGTAATTGAACCGCACTGACTTACTAGTGCAGGAACGTGTCCTGGGAGGCGTTGCGGGAAGGGGGGGGGGGCGCCGTTTCAGGCTGCGAGTAGAATAATCGATTTGTCCAAATATTTCGGTCCACGCCAGGACTCAGGAAAAAAAAGAGAAACAGTTTTTTGTAATTTCTTTTTGAACTTTTTCTTTCTAACAGTATTGTGTGGCGCGCCCTGCCTCGGTCAGGATCTCCACCTTGACCGTCCCTGTCGCGCCACCGCCCGCAGTGCACGCCGTCGGCTGTCCTCGTCCTGATTCACCATTTCCGGCGTCCTCCTTGTTTCCCTTTTCCAATTCGTCGCCTGGCAGGCAGGCTGGCAGGCCGGCAGGCTGGAAGGGACAAACCAGACAAACGAAACGGCCGCAGACTGGACACGACCAAAAGTAACGCGGGGCCTGCGAGGGGTTCGGGGGGAAGGGGGTGCTCTCGGGGATTTCACGGGGATTAAGCCCCAAGTTGTAAAAAGGTGGCCGTAAAGCGGACAGTGCCACGTCGGACGGTGTGGCCACGGCGCCCACGCCGAACGGCCACGGCGCGCGGCAGAAGCTCTCCTCCAACAGTACGCGGACCTCTGCTTTGAGACCTGCGCCGCGCGGTGCGCACCCTCTAAATTTAGCGACGGCAGGTGAGTCCGCGGGAGGAGGACACGACACCCGAAGGGGAGAGGGATTTACGGTGGCGGGGAATTAAAGCGCGGGGTGGTCAGAGTTCACCGGTGTAACTTTCGCGCCTTTCTCCCAGCGTAGTGGTTGCTGCGCTTGGAGCCTTGTAGAACACCATCCGCATTCTTGGGTTGGGACGCTGCGCCTTAGTGACACCTTTCGGGATACCGCCGTGCGACCCTGCATTGCTATACTGCACACGAAAAGGGGAAAATGAGGGCTGGCGGTATTGGAACCCTGGAACCTGGCTTCGAGAAGACCACGTCCTCGCGATAAGCTCACGGTGTGCCGCCCGAGAGGAGACGCGAGAAGCAGGGCAGCAAGCAGGGCAGGGCCGGGGCGGCGCGGCCCCTCCGGCTCCCTCCGTGTTTTGCGTCAAAACTCGGACTTGTTTTGTGTGAGATCGCCGCCGAGACCGCGCCGACGGAGCGGTCGCCTGGCGGTCGCCGAGTGGCATAAGCAGGCCGAGGCGCGCCAAGGCGGCTCGCCGACCCTCTCGGACAACAAGGCCTTCATCGAGAAGCAGCCTTTGCACTCGGACAATGAAAACAGGCTGATCCTCGCCGTAGCGCGGAGCTTCGGCCCGCCCTCCAAGGACTTCCAAGGTCAGCCCTCTTGGACACTACAGCCAAAGGCAACACGGCGCGCCCTTCAAACTAGCGCCGAAAAGTGGACTTACGTCACTAACTTTTCATAGACTGGTATAAAGAGCCGGGAAAAGCACGAAATTTTCCATTATTTGAGCCACACGGTGCCCTGCCGTTGGTCGGTCGGGCCACAGACTGCTTTACGATACGGCGTGCTGGCTGCTCCAGGCCAGGACGCGGCCCAGGACGCGGCCCAGGCCAACCCACCGCGCTTAGAACGTGACGGAGCATGCCGGCCAAAAAGGATTCTCCGGGGCGGGGCGGGGCGGCCTTCTTAACATACAAACGGCCGGCGACACTCCCTGCCTGCCTCACCGGTCCGAATCCTGCACGTCCTGCCTAAAACTGAATCTTGCCTCTGTCCTTGTGTGCCAGCCCTGCCTGCCTGCCTGCCTGCCGTCCCCTCCCGCCGTATTTCGTGCGAAATCATTGCCCGGGTCACAGGAGAGCGCGGCCCGGCTCGCAGCAAGTTGCCTCCGAACGGCGCTCTCGTCGCGCTGCCTCTCTCGCACTCCGGGGGCCTTCCGTGCGGGAGCGAGAGAGACAGAGAGCGCCGTTCGGAATCAGCCTGGCACGGCGCAAAGCGAAGCAGGAAAAATGGGGTGCGGGGCTTCACGGCAGTAAACGGTAACAAGCTGCTGCTGCTAACGCATGCATGGCGCGCGACATCGGATGACGTCATCTCTAGCCAATCTACGGCGATCCGGGCGGCAACGCCGAGGCAACGCCGTGGCGAGGGGCTGCCTGCAAGAAACACGACCTCCTTCGGGGGGTTTCGGCCGTTTGGGCACTTGGGGCGCTGGGAAGGCACAAAGTGCGCGCGTCTCGCCCGTCTCGACAGGAGGCTGATACCGGAGCACTGTTTTCATCGCTGTGCCTCTCTCTCGCTCTCACGGGGCGCCGCGCAGAGGAGCAGGAGAGACGCATTGTAAGTGCGGAGTTGTCCACCCTGGGATTCACAGTGTGGTTCTGCCCTTGCCTTGCCCGGGGGCCGCGCTGACTGTCTGACTGACAGAGCGGCAGCGCGGGAAGGGGCAGAGTGGCCACTCCGTGACGTCCACTGACGCCCGTCTCTCTCACACAATAAGACTCCAGAGAGCGAGAAAGACCGACTTTATGCACTGCGATACTGCTCGCTAACCAAGGCGGGGAATCGCACTCAGTGGCAAAGGCATGCTTCAGAACGCATCAAAGAATACTGCCCGGAGTACCTTGCTCCCGCCTTGCCGCCTAAAGTCAGTCCAAACCACGATTTCTACACGATAGCACTGTCTTGAGAGTCAGCCTGACGGGAAGGGAAAGTGGAGGGGAGCTGGGTACTGTAACCGTGACTGGCGGGATCGTCCGGCAGCAGCACTCCACCACTTTTTCTTTCTTTTGCGGGTTATTTACCCCAGCAGAGCGCGCCGCTTTAAAACCGGTGGAAGAACTCATAGCTCCCGTATTCCGTGCCTGATGAAACCGTGGCGGACCTGCCTGTATTCGGGGAGAATGGAGGAACACCCCCCCCCCCACCCCCGACTCGGACGCCCCTGGGCGGGCAGCCTCAGATGAGCCGGCGTGCCTCAAGCTGCCTTCAATTGTATGCGGAGTACGAGTGTGTGCGCGTGGGTGGCTGTGGTGCGTGGGTGGGTGCGCGTCATGTGTGTGTCTGTGGCGCTGGCATGTCTTTCTGTTTGAGTAATGTGGGTATGTGTAGGTGTCTTGTCCGTTCCAACCTGTACGGGCACGTCCACGTGAGTGTGTATGTGCGTGTGAGTGAGAGAGAGGGAGAGAGAGAGGAGAGAGAGAGAGAGAGAGAGAGAGAGAGAGAGAGAGAGAGAGAGGGAGGGAGGG